ACCAACCATTGCAGGACTGTGAACAGATGGACGTCATATCCGTATTGCACCCATTTAATATGCTTATCATTTCATTTATACTCTGTAAAACAGGATCCACCGTTAAAATTAAGAAATTTTTTCTTTTTAAAAGGAGCATTTACTAACTTAGGTGAAGAGAGTTATAGACGGCAGGTAGCGTATAAATAAATTCAACAGTTAACGAGTAATGTAAATACCAGCAAATACAAAAATAAAAATAAAAGAAGAAGAAGAAGAAGAAAAGGGCGGGTACTAGGACATGAAATATCAAAAGGAAGAAGTGTACAGTGGCAATGGCTGACAAGATAGAAACAATGATGAAGGGAAAGAGAGAGAGAGAGATATTGGTTTCGTCTGTTCTTTATTTGTACACATACATAACCATTTCGATTAAAAAACCGCCTCTCTCCTTCTCTCTCTCTCTCTGTCTTATGAGTTGTCCTTATTGTACTATCTTCTTGTTTACCATTTCCATATCATCTCTCGTGAATTACACGATATCTCTTCATCCTCTCTAATCCGTGATTTATTATACGCTAATACCTGATGATTTTAACATGGTAATTATGAGTGATAGTGTTAGCTATATTTGTATATGGTAAGCAACTATACTGTTGAGATGAGCATCAACAAATTATGGAAAAGATTAAGTGAGAAGAAGGATAAAAAGACCAAAAAATTTAAGGATGGCGAATGGTCACTACAAAGCACAGCCATTGTTGTGTTTCTTTTTGGCTCCCTAAGAAACCACCTAATGTGCTGTCATTTCACATTTCACCAGCACACTTACAGACTGCCAAAGAATTCAAAGTTTCGTACCCCTTCTTCACTCACCATTTCTCTCTCTCTCTCTTCCTTTACTAAGCCAGAAGTCATTTTGGTTTAGGAATATTAGATTACAAAAATAGATTACTCGAACATTATTAGGAATTTTTAAAAAAATATGTTTGGTTAGTTGATAGATATGTTATATTAATATGTTTGGTTATAGAGAATAAATTTGTGAGTATGTTATGTAAATTACTAAATTGTCCTCTTTTTAAATATTAATATAATAATATTTTTATTATTAATTTTTTTAACCTCCAATATTTCAGATTTAGTTAAAACACCCGTCTTATATAAAACTTTAATTTATGACGAAATCACCTCACCTCCTGTCGCCATCGCAAACCACCGCCGGAAGTCTCCGAAAGTCCCCGTGAGTAGCTCACCGTAACCAAGAGGCTCCGATATGGTCATTTCTAGCCATATTGATGGCTGAAAATGGCCAAATCTGGTCGTTAACAGCTAGATATGGACGAGATTTGGTTGTTAACGGTCAAATATGGGCGAGATTTGGCCGTTAACGGTTAGATCTCAGTCATATCTGACCTGATATGGCCGAAAACGACCATATCGAAGCCTCCCAAAGCCTCCCACTGAATCTCGTTCTTTTTTAAGGACTCCGATGACTTTCTGGCGGCGGCCCGTGGTAGTTGGCCTGCTGTCGGCGGTGGTGGTTGGGTGGCAGTGATGGTCTGTAAATTGTTTTAAATATAAGGACATTATTGTCAAAAAATTTAATTAAACAAGGATAAAATTGAAATAAGATATTAATGTAAATTTATTTTAAAATAAGGGTATTATTGTCCAAAATTTTTATTAATAAGAGATAAAATTGTAACAAAAAAAGATAACTCTGGTAATCTTATAATACCTAAGAAAATTGAGGTAATCAAATTACCTCAAATATTACCAACAGTAACCACTATTGACATTTAAAGATTATCGGTATTAGAGGTGGGCAAGGGACCGGTCCCTTGCGTGCCTAGGCTTGTGCCCGTTTGGGACTGGTCCCAAATAGGACCAGTCACTCATGGGCCTGGGACCGGTCCTAGGCCCATGAGAAAAACCAGGACCCGAACCAGACCCTAGGCCTGGTCGGGACCGATCCCATGGGCCTTGGATAATTTCATTTTCCCCCTCAAATTTTTTATATTTTGGGGACAAAACGAAATTTTATAGGAGGTTTTTAGTATTTTTTAGGGGTAAAATTTATAAATTTTTTAGACCTAGAAGATTTTTTTTTAATAAATTTTATAAAATTTCATTTTAGCCCTTGTAATTTATATTTATTTTAAAATTAACATGGAGTTTTATGTAATTTGGCAGGGGACTACATTGAAAAAATACAAAATTTTTTGGGCCCAGGCCTGGGACCTTGGAGGAGGGCCAAGTGGAGGGCCCGGGCTCTCCTCCTTAGGCCTGGTCCCATTTTAGGACCAGGCCTCCTAGGACCGGTCTTCTCAAGGACCGAGTTTTAAAGCTGGGCTTTTGGGCCCAAGGGTATGTGAGATTATTGAGGTTAAGTTATCTTATATTACTTGATTATCATATTTAGTTGTCAAGTGATATAAGATACCGAAGCCCAGCTCTAATCGGTATCTTATATTACTTGACAACTAAATATAATAATCAAGTAATATAAGATAACTTAACCTCAATAATCTCACATACCCTCCAACCAAACACCAAACGCCCCCTCATTGCCTCTTCTTTTATCTATGGTCTTGCTTTGCCTTTTATCTTCAATCTCCAATATTTCATTTGAAATTTGAGATTTGACACGTGTATGAGAAAAAAATGAAGAATGTAATTTATTGACGTGGGCCGTGGGGTGAAAGAAACATTACACAAATAAAAAAATAAATAAAATTATTCTACCCATAAAGAATATGCCATGCTTTCAAACTGTGAACATGTCATTGCGTTGACCATGTCCAAACTTATTCTTGTAATAGGTCCACGTGTCCACTGTCAGAATCCTATCGATGACCTTATTTGTTATTATACAGGTATTGTAACCTTATGAAATTGTAATTCCTTTATAATATAAATTTTGTTTATTTTAAATATCTAATAATAAAAGCTCCAAAATTTATAATTACAGTAAATGATATTTTATAAGAATAAACTTTATATAATCCTAACAAATTTTAGTCCTAATTTGGGATAGTTATAAATAAGAATAAACTTGACTTATAATAAGTTATAATTTTTTTATTCTTATTTTAAGAAAAGTTGCCTCCATATAATAATAATTATCTATATATTACGTTTAAGATGAAATAAAATATTTATCTCAAGTTGTTTGAGGCAACGATTTATACTTTAGATTTGTTACCACATCTTTTGCCTCGCGAGTATGTAATAACTTGCTAGCATGGACACTTTCTTATTAAAACCAAAATATTTTTAATTTCTTAAGCATATTTAAAGCTTCATGACACAAAACTTGTTGTATTTCCGTACTATTATCCTCAAGATTATTTTTTTTATCTTTTTGTCTAATTGTAGCAATAATTTCTTCTTCTATTAAAACATACATGATTTGTTACTCTTTTGTATGATCGAGAAATATATTGTATGCGTTTGGTTTAATATTTTTATCCCTATTCTGGATCCTATTTTTCAAATCGCGTTTGGTACAATATTCTCAAAATATTACCCTATTTTTTTTAATTACATTTTAACCTTTTTCATGAAGTATTATGGATGATTTAATACGGTGCATTTGGTTTATTATTTCAATCCTTATTTCCAATCTTATTCCTAAAATATTTGTTTGTTTAATTATTTAGGAAATATTATTATATTTTTCTCATCCTAGGAGGTTTTTTTTTTTTATAAATTTATAAATCCTTGTAATAATCACTCTATTCAACTATCTAATACTATCTCCAAAATCATATCCAAAATAATAAACCAAACGCACCTATAGTTTTATAAAGAGGTTAGGTGTTTAGTTCTACCAAACATTATTTATTAAAACCCAATCACTCATACTATTTGGTTGAAAAGGAAAAGGGGAAATACATGCATCAAATTTTTAAAATTTTATATACGTTTGATCATTCAATTATGCACTCACTTTTAAACATATTAAAAATAGTTTATGGTCGAATGTATTCAAACCTTTAAAATCTAAATCTTTATTAAGGATAACTAAAAGACGAATTTCAAGAATTCATGATGCTATAAAGTTGAGGGGTATTCGACATTAATCTAATAATGTCATCTTATATTACTTACATTATTATATTTGATTGTCAAGTAATAAAAGATTTTTGTAATCCCAAAAAACAAATAGTAACTATTATTGGTTATATTGATGATAATCTAAATACCACCATTTTGTTAGGTATTATATGATTACTTGGTAATCTTAATTTTGTTACAATTTTATACCTAAATAATTAAATTTTTGAACAGTAATACCCTTATTCTGAAAACAATTTGTAAGATTTTTAGGATATTATTACCCTTGAACTTGAAACTAATTACCCAAGATAGATGGTCGAATCTGGCCACCATCACTAGTCAACGTCATCGAAACGGCACATGATTGACCAGATCCATAACCATCTAGTCATTTTTGGAATTCAATATGGTCGGAAAGAGCCAAATTGGCTCATGGCTGACCAGATCTGGTTGGCCGTGCACCATTCAGGCCATAGCCGATAGTGGTAGTCGGCGATTAACAATGACTTGGGTGGATGAGGGTGTTTTTGTTTTAATTTAAACTTTTATTATAGCTAAGGTGCTTTAGCAAAATCTTAAACGTAAGGGGTTAACAAAATAATTCAAATAATAATAATTATAATAATATTAAAAAAATAGCTATTATAGTAATTTATATCAACTAATTTACTCCAATCTAACTAAACACATTTTATATAACATTTCCAATAATCTTCAAGATAATATATGATCTTCCCATTAATATAACATTTCAAGTTATATAACATTCCTTGAATACTCCTAAGCGTTAAAGTTTTACTATCATTAATAAATGTAGTTAAAATGCAGATACTGGTAAGAGAGAGTACCATACACATATAATTACCATAATATACGTATATTAATGAAAGAACATGCAGCCACGATATTCTTTAATTAAATATTTACTTTTGTAATTTAGTTTGGAGTTACTAGAGTTACAACATTACCTTTGGTTGCTTTGTAGATGTTGCAATATGCAGAACAGTGTTGCCATCTTCGTCCTTCCATTGCAAGACCTCTTTCTTGTTAACCCTTATAAGCCATCCGATCAAGACTTCTACAACAGCAAGCCTTTTGTTCTTCACAGCAACATGCACAGCAGTTTCACATTGAACAGTTAAATCCTCTATTGAAGAAGGGCAAGCAGACAAAAATTCAGCTAAAAGATCCAAATCCTCCATTTCAGCTACGTAATGCAAAGGAGTAATCCTCCCCTTTCCTTTCACTCGGACGAGCTCCCTGTCGATTGCTAGAAGCGCTCTCACCACTTGCTTGTGCCGATTTTGCAAAGCTACGTGCATGGGGCTGAGCCCCTGACGGTTTAGTTGCCGGGCTAGTGGAGGTTTTAAGGTAGCTATTTCCATGGCGTAATGGGTGTTTCCCACGCTTGCAGCTATATGCAATGGAGTATCTGCAATGGAATCATCGTCGTGTTCAGCAAGTATTGAGTAAAGAGCGTCAACGCTTCCCTCTCTAGCAGATCTATTCAACTTCTCAGTCATTGCGAGACTCATATCTGACAGGTGGTTTAGAACTTTTACTTGGATCGTAAAATTGTATTTGGAAGTAAGAAATTACTATATAAAGAATGACCAAAGGAAGAGAATGAGTAAAGAAATGATATGTGAAGAGTGCACCAGGTCATATTAAGAATAAAAAACAACTACTTCAAAAAGAAAGAATAAAGAAATAATATGTGAAGAAGAAAAGAATTGGAAATGGTCCCACTGCTATCAGGTAGGAAGGTTTTAATAAGTAAAGAATAAAGGCTTTTAAGTTTTAACGTAAAGAGTAAAGGCTTCCTGTAACCCTAATTGCTTTTTCTGTTTTTTGTTACTAATAATCAGTCTCCTATTAATATAAGAAAAAAATCAAATATTATATATAAAATACAAATATTTATCCTAAAATAAAAAATCATGATCTTTTTAATTAAAGAAAATACAAAGCACGTATTTAAAGTGATATTTTACGAAGATAACTTCTAAACTAATAAAGATCTCCATCTAGGTTAACCTTGGTCGTCGAAGCTTTATGGAGAAATGTTTTCCTTATATTCTTGTACCACAGGTGAAGCCCTCCAGAGGGATACCTATCGGGCTCGAGCTGGCCCACAGAACAAGCCAATATGATAAACCTGGAGGCCCAATTTTCTCCAAGGTGAAATACAATAGTCCAATCTCCTACAGATCCCCTACTATCTCAGGGTCTAATACATGGAGAGAAAGCTGCACGTACACTTGGAATATCAATGTTAGGGTCTTAGATTAAGTAGCAATTTAACACATTATCAAAGTAAGGTCTCAAATTCGACCTAAGAGTTTAAGGCTCCGTTTATTTCGTTTTTTGGAATACTATTATTAGCATTTCCAAAAAAGTTAAGCAGTAAAATTGTAAAAATTTACAATATTATCCAATATTATTCAACTTTTTTTAAACCCCTTAAATTTGTTAATTTAATTAATACCGCTAAATATTTTTTTCAAAATTACAAAAACACCCCTACACCCACATTATACCAGATTCCAGCCACCACTGCCGAAAGTTGGCCGGAATCTAATATAATGATATACTACCGGCTGAATCTGGCCGATGGTGGGCTGATCTAGCCTTTTCTGACCGGATCCACGGTGGATCTGGCTAGAAAAGGCCAAACTAAGGCAAAAAATCTCAGCGACGGCCAAAATATGGTCGTCGTTAACCATCAACGACGGCCGTATCTTTGGCCATCGTTGACGAGCAAATGTGGCAAGATTTGGCCGTCGTTGACGAGCAAATGTGACAAGATCTGGTCGTCAATGGCCAGATCTAGCCGTAGATCTGACCTTTGTCGGCTAGATCCACCGTGGATCTGGCCAGCAAAGGCCATATCGACGCACGACCGGCAAGATCCAGTCGGTCATGCGTCGATACGGCGACTCCGACCACCCTTGGGTGGTGGTGGCCGGCTGTGATTATTCAATGGGTAGGTTGGGGGTGTTTTTATTAACTTTCAAAGCTTTATTATAGGGGTGTTTAGTAAATATACAAACATATGGGGTATTTTTATTAATTTATAAATCTTACATCGTAATACCTGCACAATTCAACTTTTTTTAACCTTTTTAAAAAAAAATTTCTAAAAAATGCAAAAAAATGAATCAAACGGAGCCTAAGTTTCAGTTATTCATATGAAGCTTGGTTTGAAATTCCTTAAAAAGGTAGCTTTTCTGTTTATTACATCGATAATCTAATAAAAGGGAGATTATTCAAATTGGGTTCAATGGATAACAGGGATGAAACAGTGTTTGATGGCTAGGACACCATATCTTTTAGAGATAAAAGAAGAGAAAATGAACACTCTTTTTTGAAATACTTTGAATTGTTTTGGTAAAGAGAGATGGAATCATTGAAGCGAACCATGTTTTTGTTGGAATTTATTAATTAAATTGAATGAAATGAGATGTGGTAGTATAAGTTGGGAATTTGAAAGATGAAAAATTAGTGGATTAAAGAAAAAGGTTTTAAAGTTGGAAAGTGAAAATGTTGAAAATAATTGTGGAATTCAATGATTTCTCCCACCTTGAGTAGTATAAAATGGTATTTTTTTCTTTCATTTTAAATGCACCAAAATTGAGAGCTCTTTCAATTTCTTATTTTCTATTTAGTTTTTAAGGTTTTTTTTTGTTGGAGTCAAGACTTAATTTAGTTCGTTAGAATAGAAGAGTGATGCTTCTCTCTATTCATTTGTTGTTGTATTCTAGGAAACAGATACTGCTCAAATCCTTGTACACTCGTAAAGGAGGAGAATCTGTTTTAAGGAAATTGTGTGCTACATAGGCCTCGATATCCATCCTAAGGTTGTATTCTTTACCGGATCTCTTCCTATCATTCTGAAAGATCTCTTACATGTGATTACGTTGATGGTATTTTTAATTTTATTATATTGTCATTTTATTTTATTGACCTTTAGTTATTTTTTTATATTTAATATATTTTTTATTTGCAAATACTAATATAATAATTAATTATTTTATAACAGATCTTTTTAGAAGGGCAGATTGAAGTGTAGTATTGAGCAAGTAGCTTTTAGCTCCTCCAAGAAAACATGACATGTAAGTAAAATAAAATTTCAGAAGCTTGACAACACAAATTGTACTGTTGAAAGTCTACATGACTTGTTTTTTCAATTATTGCACCCAAAAAAAAAAAAAAGACATTTCACAACACAAATTATTAAATATTATGAATCTTATTTTTCAAACAGACTCAAACCTCATTGTTGAATTTCCCCTTTGTTTTCAAATTCAATGCAGCATTCAAGAATTTATCCATGGCGTCCATAGAAGACCCTTTAGAATTTCCCTCATCTTTGATAGCATTGTTAATTATCGCCTTAACTTGCAAAGCTTTCCCTCTCATTTCCTTTCCCTTCTCACTCTCATTCATCACCAACTTAATTTTTTCCACTATATCTTCATGAAAAACCTCACTCCTCTTCTCTCTAGCAACCTCCACACATACTCCAATCATGTCTTCCAACAATTTTACATTATAAAACTGCTCTGCTGCCACTGGCCACCCTATCATTGGCACGCCATGGCTCAGTGATTCAAGCACAGAGTTCCATCCACAATGACTCAAAAATGTAGATAAAGATTTGTGAGATAAAATCTCCACCTGGGGTGCCCATTTATGAACCAATAGTCCACATCCTGAGTCTTTGATTCTCTCTTCAAATCCTTGAGGCAACCATTCATTGGCTCTAAATTCAGAGTTTATGTCAAAGCCTAATGGTGGCCTAACAACCCAAATGAAATTCTTGCCACAACCCTCTAAAGCCATTGCCAATTGCATCATATTCCATGCAGATATAGTGTTCTGTGATCCAAATGACACTTAGAGAACTGAACAAGGTGGTTTTTTATCAAGCCAATTTTTACACACCTCTGGGGAGACTCCAAAATCTCTTTTGCTTCCTGGAGACAAAATAACAGGGCCAATAGACCAAACCTGTCGGCCTAATTTTCTCCTAAAATACATTAGTCCAAGCTTGTCAATCTCCTCTACTGTGTTGAACAAAATTCCATCAGCTTTACTCCAGTGACAAAGTAGCTCTTCCCTATGAAACACTGAAATAGAATCACTTCCATCCGTGACTCTTAAAGGCTCTGACATTTGAGTGACATGAAAGGTAGAAGCTTCAGGAAAATCCGGCAACACAAATTCATCAGAATCAGTGTTCCGGTGAGGTAAATTTAGCCAGAAAGAGTAGTAACAAGCAGAGCCAAAACCACCACCAGTAATAAATATAGAATGAAATATTCCAAACTCTTGGGCTATCTCTATACACCATCCTAAGAACATGTCCGAGATGATGCAAAGTGGTTTTTGCCCATTCTCTTTATGGATAAGATTATATATAAGTTTCCTGAAATGGGGTTTCAAAGATAAAGAAGCTTTAAGGAGATTGGGGAAAAGATGATGAGGAAGAGAATCCAAATTTTCAGAATTAGGAGGGAGGTCATGATCTGAGCTATTAAAAGGGATTTCAAGGAGATGAATGGAGGAGTTTAGAGGGAGACATGATCTGAGTTTCTTGTTATTTAAAGGGGTGTTAACAAAAATTATGGTGTATTTGTTCCTTTTTTCAATTCGAAGGGCTAAAGCTAGGAAAGGATTAATATGGCCTTGAGCCATGTAGGGAAACATTACTATGCTTTCTTTTGTTTCAGCCATTGTTGAGAATCGAAGATCAAGTGGAGGAGTACTAGATGAGTGGCGTGTGGTATACAAATGAAATGACAAAAGATGATACTCTTAACCAAATATCTTTTTACTCTTTTGGAGAAAATTTTTTATTGCCAAATCTTTTCTCGTGTAAAACATTTTCTAATTCTTGTCATTTTTTGACAAAAAGCAATCAATTTTTTTAGACTTTCTATGGGAGACCTCTCAAACTTTATCAAATAAAAAAGAACAACTTTATTTTGTTTCATAAATTTATATATAAAGAAAGATTAATACTTCACCTAAGTGAAGCAATCAATTTTTTTTTTTTGTTTACACCTTCTCCCTAATTTCAAATTTAAAAAACAAAGAAATATTTGAAATTAAAAAAAAAAAAATTGCTTCAATGATTTAGAAAATTTAGAGTTAGGATTTGTATAATAATTAAAGGTTAAAAATTGAATGTGAGTATATTTAGAAATTATTATGTCATTTATAGTAATTTTTTTTATTAAGAGTAAATATAAATAATTAAAAATAAAAATATTGATAAATTTGATGGGACTAAAAATCAATTACCTAACCTTGTTAAAAGACACAAAAAAAAATTAAAGTAGGAGATACTCATAATCACACATAGTCCACATATATTATGTGGGCTATAAAGCCCATGATTTAAGAAAATTAATGTGATCTATAAAGGCCCGAGGACTTTTGAACCTCTTTGAGTATTGAGAAGGCCCATGCCTTTCAACTTCAAAGTAGTAATGAGAATCCATTTATTCGTCTACCGGCTCTACCATGTTTCTAATATCTCTTTCTTATACTTGAATGTAGGTGATAAGATAATATTAATAAATCCATTAATATATATTTTCTTTAGGCTTTATATAACCTATTTCTCCTCATATTTTGTATGCATCTAATAATAAGAATACTATCTTTAGGATTCTCAATTTGAATTCTACCTAATGCAGTTGTTAATATGATTGCAAACACAGCTAATCATAAGATTATATGATTGATATTGCTTTTCTGGTAATTAATATAGTGTTGATATATCAACGATCACATGAATTTTAATTTTAATTTGATAATATTATAAATTTTTTTTTTAATTGAGGTAAAAAGAATATTCTTATTTTTATTATTGTTTCTGCTACTTTGTCAAGCTTCCATCCATTGGCATTCTTCGACAGTGTTCTACCTCTTTTGCCTTCCTTCCAGCTCAAACTCTGACATGGTATCAGAGCTAATATTTGCTTCCGCTAGAATCCTCTCTAAGCCATTGTTTCTCTAAACCTGCAAAACAAGGCAATAGGATTAGATTTTTTTTAATTTTTTTTTCCCAAACATCACTAAATGGACCCAACCAAAACACCCACAGAACTAGACTCAGAGTTCACAGCCACAAATGAGTCTCCACACACAAACCGAACTTATCCAACAGTCCCACACAACTAAACCAACCCTACTCATCTAACAAGCCCAAACATCCAAACTGGTCCAAACCATCAAACAGAGCCCAACCACCAACCCCGATTCAACTTTCAAACCGGCCCATTTCCATTCGGGTTGATTGGTCAAAACCCTAACCTGATGGGTCAAAACCCCTACCTAATCTTCCAATTTCTTCCAGCCTCCCACCGGTCGACTAGAACCAGGGGATTCTCTTTTTTCGTCGGTTTCCGACAGCTTTGAGCTTGTGCTCGTAAAACAAACCTTGGCTGGATCTCAAAATTACGCCACCTAGGCCAGAGACTTTCGGCGAGCTTTGGTAACAAAAAATAAAGAAGGGTTCATCGATGGAATCCTTCCCCAACCCATTGAACCACACCTTTCCCAGCATTGGATTCGGTGTAATACCCTAATTCGCACTTGGATAGCAACTCCCTAACCCAGGAGATAGTTGCCGACTTGCCTCAAATTGAAAATGCCCAAGAGATGTGGACAAACATCCAAGAGATGTATGGCCAACTGGATCTCGCAAAGATCTTTACTTTGCGTAAAAATCTTCTTGAAATCAAGCAACACAACCTGCCAGTCATCGTTTATTTCAATTGTCTTTAGGCGATTTGGAACGAACTCGACGCTGTTGAAGAATCGCTTGAAGGACCCTCCACAATCCTTCACCAGATCAAGCATCTTAAGGATCAAAACAGGTTAATTCATTTTTTGATTGGTTTAAATGACAATTTTTTGGCTTTTCGGACATAGATGTTGGCTACATCACCGGCGTCATCTCTCCAGTGTACCTACCAGTTGGCGGTGCAAGACGAAAGCTAAAGATCGGCTTCGTCTGACTCCCAACGAAATACTAAAGCTGCTACTTTCGCAGTCAACCCATAACAGCGGAAGATTGGACCACCAGAGATGAAACATGGCAATGGAAAAAGGGAGCTAGGGCAATCTAAAAGAGAAAACACTATTTTATATGGAGGAGTGAACGACCCAGATCTCATCTCCTCATCCAATGGCTCAAAATCAAGTGGGTTATTTAGGCTTAATAACTGTTTGGGCTCAAATTTGATTGCTAGCCCAAATTCTGGAAATGGCTCAAGCTTTGTGGTTGGCCCAAATTTGGGAAACGGCCCAGCTCACTCCACCAATTTTAATTCCTCTCATGGCCATCCAAGTCCAATAAAAATTGTTACTGTGATTATTGCAAACAGAGAAACCACACGAGGGACACATGTTGGAAATTACATAGCCGCCACCAAAACCAACGGTCTGGATCTGCCATTGCCAATCAAGTAAGTCACCTTGTCACTTCTGATAACAACGCTGCGGCCCCTATGTTTAGCCAAGAACAGTATCACCAGATCCTGCAGATGCTAAATCAAAGTCCGCAGGCCAATACAACATCCTATGCAGGTACATCTTTTTGTTCAAATATTACAAAAAAAAAATTTTGGATAATTGATTCAGGGGCCAGTGACCACATTCTTTGTGATCCCAAACATTTTTTCCACACATCCCCTATACCCTACACATCAGTCTGCATGCCAAATGGTACACATGCACCAGCCACTCAATTAGGAATTGTCCATCTAAATAAACATTTAATCCTTCATAATGTTTTGTTTTTTCCTGCTTTCCGTTTCAACCTCATCTTTGTTTCTAAACTATGTCAAGATAATGTCAGTGTCTTAAAATTCTTTCCTAACAAATATGAGTTTTAGGACCGTTTGATTGGGAATCTGATGGGCTCGGGTAAAGTTCACCAAGGTCTTTATTATTAGATAGGTGCCTCTAATGCTAAAAACTCAATGTCTTGTATTACTGGAAATAAAAGATCAATTTATAATACAAACATTAATAAAACTTCTTTTATTTTGCATCAACGTCTAGGTCATAGTGCATCTATTCCTCAACCCAATTGTCTTATTTGTCCTTTTGCAAAACAGTCCTACACAAAATTTCCCAAACACATGCCTTCCACCATTCGTAATTTTTTCTTAGTTTATTATTAAAATAGTATTTCTCTAAATTAAAATTCAAGTAAATTTTAATATTTCAAATCAAATTTAAATTTTTTTTTGAATGGATGATACATCCCACATGAATTTTCTTTTTCCCAAACTTTATTGCTTTTCATGTTAAAGTAAAAAATATAAAATTTTGATGATATTATTAAAGATAATAATTAAAATATTAGCAAAACCCTTTTCACCAAGGCAAGATATGATGATAAGATGAAAGCCTTTCCAACACGTGATAGATCAAACACCAACATTAACTTTTTTCCTTGTAGTTTTAATATCTTTCAACCAAAAAATACAGCAATTTGACTAGGGTCAATTTTAGGTGGCTTGACTTGAGCAGCGGTCTAGCAACCAAGTTAAATGGACCTCCTCCTCCACACTGGTTTTAGTTTTAAATTTTGAAACAACCGTTTTGGTTAATAGTTCAAAATTACAATTAAACCATTAACCGAAACAATTTCTTTTGTTTTCATTATTTTAAAAATCAAAATCGAACTGATTATTTTGAAAAATCAGTTTTTTAGAGTGGTTTTGATTCGGTTTCTTAGTTCGGTTTGGTTTTCGATTTTTTTTTTTTTTTTTTTCAGCCCTAGGTAAAATGGTCGAGAAGAATTATAGTTATTCGGCTAACAACATTCAGCGAAAATGAAATGAAAATTACATGTTTTAAATATATAT